CTGTTGTGAAGCTTCTTTTGGACGCTCGGCTTAGGTCGCTTCAGTCCTTGGGAGTGGGGCAAGTATGGGCGAGTCTGATGTTGAATTGAAGCTTTCTGCCGCTGACGCACCACAAAGGACAGCCGTGCCAATCCTTATGCAGTGGACAGCTCTGGCAACAGCTCCATGGCAGAGAATCCGTCGAGCTTCGAGCGGCAGAGATGAACGCGCGGAATTCAGAGCGCAAGCGCGATCCAGATAAGGCGGCCTGCACTACGCAGCTGGCTACGGACGCAAGGTCCAGCAGGGTTCTCGCAAGGGAGTCTCGCAGTGGAGTGCATACGGCAGAAGCAGTGCAGCAGCTGCAGCAAGCTTCTTGGGAAATCGTGTCGCTGATGGTCAAACACTTTTGTGCATGAGTGTGTCGCAGTATTCACTGGATTGTGCGCGATCTGCAGGAGCTGCTGGAGTACCTCCTCAAAGTTGGAGCCAATGCAACATGGCTGCCTCCAAGAAGAGCATGACATATCAGCATGTTGTGTCTTGTGGCCTTATGGTCCCTGATCGCAGTCTTTGGCTTTGCATTCGTCAGACATCGTCAGACTGTGACTTTCTTCAGGTCTCCCAGCCCAACTCCCAGGGCCAAACGCCGCTGGCCGTCGCAACCCAGAATCGCCAGGAGAGCTGCATCCAGATCCTCCAGGCCCGGTATGTGCTTATGCACACCCGCGCACGTGGCACATGGGCATATTTATCTGTCCGAAGAATGATCAACCTTCGGTACGCATGCATCGATGTTGGTGTATGTGCATGCTGTGTGCATGCATCGACCTGCGTATGCAGCTGTACATGTACATGTGCAGGCGTAGATGTACAAATGCACACAGGTAGTACCAGTAATAAGATCCGGTAAATACCCATCTACATAGTTCCTCTGAAAGTCGGTACTGTCTAGGTTCGTGTGTCTGTAGGTATCGATGTACATGTGCAGATGTGACTCCGTGTTTCTGTAGTCGTCCAGGCGGTGGGTGGGTCGGGTCGGGTCGCGTCGATTGGTGGGTGGTGGGTGGGCAAGTTGGTGGGCACGTGTGTGTGTGTGTGTGGATGGATCGATGTATCTGTACATAGGTATGTATGTTGCCATGCAGGCAAATTCGTCCTCGTGTAGACACATATGATATGCATGCATGCACACGGATAGATGATAGATGCATGACGCACATGCATGCGCAAGTGACGCACATGCATCCGTGCATACAGCTTTGACTTGTTTGTGTATGTATATGTGCGTTCGTGAAAAGTACGTGTCTGTGATTGAATATAAACAAATAAATCAATAACTAACTAAATAAATAAGTAAACAAATAAATAAATAAATATATATATGTTTATAACTAAATGCGCGTGAGCTTGCGTGTGGACGTGTCTGTGCTCGTTGGCTTTAGCACGGACATGCAGCTGTGCATATGCACTTCTGTGAATGCCTTAAGTCTTGACATGAATCTGTTGATTATGCCTACAGCAGTCGATCGGTCTGTCTATTGTCTCCATGTGCTTACATGTACATGAGACTTTCTACCTGTCCGTCCATCCAATTGCTCGCGTCTTCATTCTCCGGCAAAAGTATGTTTCGCCATGTGCATGGGTATCACGGCCAGAGCGTTCAAGCCTCGTGGATGAATGGCAGGCACACGGGGCCCAGTCCTAAGCCTTCAACGGTTCCGGCCTGAGCTTCGCCAGCAGCGTTGACAATTGCAGCAGCTCGCTTTTCCCGGTTGCTGCAGGCCGAGATCTCGACATTACGTTCTCGGACTTGAAGCATCGTGAATCCGTGTCTGAGTGGCTGTCGTAGGCCCCCTTTTTAAGCATGGATCGAACCTGCCGGAACTCTGCGTCATGGGCGCATCCGAAGTCGTGTTGAAATTAATACTCCTGTCATTGGGGTATGCAGTGTAGCACTTGAGCCAGGCAATGCCTGCAGCGAGCAAAGCGTTGGGTTGAGCTCTTGAAAGCCAAGAGGTCTCAGCCACTTTAAGCTTGATCGCAGATCCAGATCCGACGCGAAATGGCTTTCTCGAGGAGCGGGCCTGATTTGGAGAATGAAAGGCTGGACAAAGGTACATAACTTACATAACAGTTGGGAAGGTGCAGCTCCATTCCTTGTTAATGAGCTACTGGTAGCAGCGAGTATTGTCTTTGAAACTTACGGGGTTATGTCCGTGAGTCTGAAGGCATGGCAGTCTCTCTCTTTGTCTCAATCTCTCCTTCTTTCTCTCTCTCTCTCTGTCTCTGTCTGTCTCTCTGTCTCTCTCGGCTTGACGGTTTCTCCTCTTAGAGTTCAGGGTCTGCCAGTCAAAAAACATCTCGTTTTAGGGTTTAGGGTTTCCTTTCAGGGTGTGGGGGTTTGCCAACCAATATCGTTTGTCAGGGCTTAGGTTTGCCGCCCAACATCTCCTTTTGAGGTTTAGGGTTTTTTTTCGGGTTTAGGGTTTTTCAACAAACCTTGGCTATTGGAGTTTGGGTTTGCCAACCATCGCGGCATGGGTTTGGACCAAGCGCACCAAACGGCCCCTGGGAGCGGCGACGGATGGTCGCAATGGCATGTGCACTGATGTGGGCTCCGATGTCGAGGCTGAGGAGCTCAACGAGGACGACTTTAAGCAGTGTGGGCCCAAGCCCCAAAGGAGGACGTTTGCTGAGTACTGTGCCCGCAGGTCTGAGGATCACCCTTCCCGGCAAAGTGATGGCTCTTTCGTTGAAGATTGCAAGTTCTGTGCTTTTGTGATTGCATTTTTTACAAAGGACGAGCGGCCTGACTGGAGATGCCCTCTTTGTCGCTATGGCATCCCGGAGGGTGAGATGCAGCGAGCATCCCGGTTGAGGATTAAGGCGGCCAAGGACCGGAAACGTGAGGCCAAGCACCCTGCGGTTGCCGTCAAGCAGTGGGCTTTCAGAAGGGCAGAGGTTGTCAAGCGCAAGCGGGTGGATCGATTCAACCAAGCCAAGCGTGTGAACGAGGCCGATGCGGGCATTCGGGCCAAGGTTGGGCACAACAAGGTGATGGAGTTTCGGCTTAATCAGGCTTGGCGCTGCCCCGGATGCCCTTGCATCTTCGAGAGCATTGTCGATGCCTAGAAGCATCGCTGCCGTACTGTAAGGTGTTGAAGCGATTCGTCAACACACTATTGAAGAAGCTTCGGCGGCTTCAGGCCACGGCCCACAAGTACAAGCACGGCACCCCCAAGGATGTCCTGGCCGGCCTGTTTGAGGTTGCCCGGAACATGATTGGAGGAGGCTCTGTGGCGACGGCATCGGATCCATGCTCATGCTCTCCACTCTCAACGCGCAAGGCGGTGGTGCAAGCAAGGTCAACTTGTTGACCGATCTCATGTTTGATGAGATGCTCTTAATTGATGTGCTTTGCGTTCAGGAGCTCAACTTGGACGAGCTCTCGGCGCCGAGCTTCGTCTCCATCCTTCGGTGTCGGGACTTGCATGTTTTTCCGACCACTTTGGAAGATGGTAAGTGCAGATGTGCTGTCAATTCAAAGTCTGTGGGTGCTGCAGTCGATCTTCACAGTGGACGGCTCGCAGGTGCAATTTTTGATTTACAAAGTCACGGAAACTTCATAAAAACAACATGGCAACTTGCATTTTGTCTTTACGCAGCCGAGTGCGTCGACGTAGCAGGTTTCAAGTCTGACACCTCGGTGACTAGTTAAGCTGCCACCAGGAACATGCGAAGCTTGCAAGGCGGTCGGTTAAGGCGCTACGGGAAGGGTGTATCTGCATGTGCGCCAGCGTAATGCAGAAGAATACAGTCATCTCGTAGGTTTCAAGCTTCATGGCAACACATGTGCTGAGGTGCACGCTGCCGAGCATGCATGCCATGTCGACCGAGCTCTGTCGACTCTGCTGTTTTTTTGGCCTAGCTTTCATTGGCGTTTTCTCGAGTCGTTTTCGGGCATGGCACCGACCTTCCAGCCAACCAGCCAAGGTGCAGGGTTTGCCGAACAGCATCCCATTCCTGGGTTTTGAGTTTGCCAGCCAACATCCCCTTGTAGGGTTTAGGCATGGCTTTCCGGCTTTTGGGGTTTACGGATGCCAGCCAAAATATTTGGTGAGAGCTTGAGGTTTGCCAATCAACATCTTTGGCTTGATGTTTGGGGTTTGTCAACCAATATCTCCGCTTAGATTGCAAGGTTTGCCACCCAAGACCCCCTTGTAGGGTTTTGGTTTGCCTTTGAGTTGTAGTGGTTTGCCAACCAACGTAAAATTTGAAGTTGGGGTTTTGCCAAGTTAGCGTCTTCTTGTAGGTTTGCAGGGTTTGCCAACCAACATACCCTTTTAAGGTTTGGGGTTTGCTTTTGGGGTTTAGAGTTTAGGGTTTGCCGCGGGTTTGCCTTCCAACATCCCGTTTGGTTGGAGCTGTCCGCCTAGCCAGCCAACAAATACTTCAAAGGCGTAGGTCTTGGCAACAAGCATGCCCTTTTGAAGCTAGCGTTTTCAGGGTTCGGATGCAGGCGTTTTGGGCATCCGGGTTTTTCTTACATGCTTTGCTTAGCATGCTGCTACTGCTGCAGCTACAGCAACTACTACGGCAACAACGACAGCTGCTGCTGCTGCTGCTGCTGCTGCTACCTCCACTGCCACCACCACTACCAGTCACTACTGCTGACTACCACCTATCACCCACCACCTGCTGCTTCCCAGTCCTAGCACCTACCACGCGCTGCCTCTTAACTCCTACCTCATACTACCGACGACCGACGACCCGCGACCTACCACCTACTACTTGCCAGCAACAACTGCTACAACAGCTGGCTCATTTGATTTCATTCGTGCTTCGGTGACTTTCGCGTCACATGGCTGCAGGTACTTGGCTATCTTATTTTCCCAACGGGCCGCTGTAGTTGTCGACGTCAATGGGCATAACGAGCCCATTGACGCTCCCAGAGCACAATATGCCATGTCATGCATATTCGGGCAGACCTTTCCTATATTTTTTCGCTGTAAGGTCTTCAAAACGCGTTCAGAGAGGTCTCCAAGAGATTCTGTGGATGTGGACTGCCGCCTCTTCTGCTGAACAGTTTGCCGAAAGACTTGGCCGTTTGTTCAATCGACCAGCTCTCTGAGCAGCTTTTGGCTCTGCACGCACACCCCTTGCAGGGATGAAATCTCGAGCAAGGATTGCAGAGTGCTCAAGTGTGAGGTTGCAACCCGAATAAGCACGGGTCCCCTGGCAATGACTGCCCATGTTTGAAGCATCAGTACCATGCCCAACATGCGAAAGAGTTGTTCGGTCTGTTCTTCCAAGCTGAGCTGCTTCTATTGTGAACTTGGCTGGGTTTCGAAGCAGAGCCCGCTCGACTTTGCTTGTCTGACGCTTGGCATCCGCTGCTGGCTCCGGATTCAGATGTTGTGTAGGGCGGTCATGCAATCCAAACTCGGACAATACATGCTCCGTCCCAGTCCTGTGGGTTAACCCGACTAGTACGTTTTATTGACCAGCTTATTTCTACATCCCAGGTCGTCATATCTAGAAAGGTAGTGTTCACAAGCCCCATACAAGCAGTCCAGCGATAGCACATCGCTAGCACAGGCAGCCAGTGCGGAGGCCACGTGAATAAGCTTTTCCTTGCAAGCCCTGTCATTGCAGCAGCAGCAGCAGCAGCAGCAGAGAGGACAAGCTGTCACAAGAAGCTTGTTGTTTGTCTGTTTGTAGCCTGGCCGCTGCGGAAAGTGTGCTGCCTGCAATGACACAGTTTTGAGATGCACGGCCTAGTCGCATGCACTAGCTGCAGCATCATGTGCAGCTAAGGAGTTGTTGCCGGTGGCAGCGACCTGCAGCTCACCCTATATATGGAGGCCAGTGGCTGGTCTGTTGCTAGACTAGATCGCCACCGAGTGATGT